TCGGCTTGGAAAGCAAAACTTGGGTAATGATCAGTTAGTGCTAATCTTTTCACAGGTCAAAGTAGTCAGAATTTAGTGAAAATTAGATCAGATTCCAAAATCATGTACACCACTTAACTTCTTAATTTAGGTGAAATAACATTAAAGATGACAAGAGCTTTTTCCTTTTGAGAAAAATACTCTATAAAAGATTATCACAATTATGTAATCTTGTTTATTGGGTTACCTTATGGATAACTGAGATATGAACCACAAAATTTCCTATCAAAATTCCCCGCCCATATATTTCTGTGGCTCTGCATTCCCCCTACTGTTTAGATAGAGGGATAAGATTTACATATAAACGGTTAATGTATAACATGTACCTGCTGTCTCTTTATCTCAAAATGATGAACTCTGAGAATATCAGTTGCTTGAATTCCCTGAGAGTAGTAAACACTAATGTATGATGAAAAAGACCGATTTGCTATGTTTTGTGTTAGTTAGTTTCACTTCCCCATGCATTACCTCTTAACTACTCTGACTTTCCTTGAAAATATAGAATATACTAAGAGCCATATAAAAACACAATTTGAGGCAGTTCGTAGTACACGTTTTTAGTAAAGTTCAAATGATTTACTTAAACGCAAACTAACACACCTATTAGAACGTTTTAATTTATTAAGCACTAAGATAACTTATCTGTTATACCAAATGATATGGTCCAGTATATAATTATTTTTTAGAAAATCAGTTTTCTTTTGAGCGTCACTAACTCTGTATTAATTATGGATAGTAGCTAGCAGAGGAATCCAGGATGTGCGTTTCGCTTTATTGGAGACTCGTCAGTTGGATGTACCTGTCTCCCAGTCGGTAATGTTATTCCCATCTGAACTCGAACTCGGGACCGGCCACTTCAAGTGCTGGAACGTTATCTACTAGACCACCGAGCTACGCTAGCTACCTCTTGTGAGACGGATATAGTTTTAGTATTGTTGCTTGCATTATCCCGTCGTTGATTAAACCCAGTTGATCAGTCTCCATAGGCATATTAGCTACTGCACAGATGCTCCGATAATGCGTGTTTGAATTACATATTAATGATGGATAGTGGCTAGCCATGGAATCCAGGATGCTCGTTTCGTCCCATTGCGGACTCTTCAGCTGAATGTACCTAACTCCCAGTTAGTGTTATTCTCACTGAAAGGCAGGTAATATCGAGTCAATAACTCTGTATTCACAGTTAGGACAGTGTTTATTTAATACCTTTGGGCAAGAATTCATTACCAAATATTGCTTACAATTTATGTAATTTGAGAATGCAATATATTTTTGTTGTTCTAGAAAAGAACTCCACTAGGCATTTTAAATCTTCACTGAAAAGCTGATGACTTCATACGATTTTATCATTTTCACTCACCAAGTTCATCTCAGTAAGTCATGTTTACTGCTACGCATGCGAAACGCACCTATTGTCTGTCATTAAAAATCTATATACGGTAGATCGTAAATGCCGTCTATGAGTAACCTCAAGGGTTGGTATGTGAAGTTTATTCAAAGTGGTTAATACTAATGGTGAGGATTCTGTCAGTGGAAAACTCATTTACTAAAGAGATTTGCTAAATGTCCATAAGTTCTTCTAATTATTTCATCAGCTACTCAATTAGATTAATAAACTTTAATACTGACTGATGCTTGTCACTTGACCTTTATTTCGGATAGAACTAATCTATGTCCCTTGGCTTATAGGTCCTTTGAATGGATGCTTCAAGAGAACCACATGTCAACGGGGGCCGATAATTCTGGTCCGGTATTAAAATCACTGACAACTGTCAGTAAATAACAAGAGATACCCGTAGTCCAAGGGATGGCTGTAGCTACTTATTACCCTCATAAATAACGCTTTGATGTTTAGAGAGATGATTGACAAGTTTAAGCCTCAATAAGAACACCCATGACTCGTTAGGATGCAGGTATACCCAGCTGATGAGTCCCAAATAAGAGCAAATATGTGTTCTGAATTAAACCGTTAGCAGCAACCAGGGAAATTAACACCAAACTCCAAGCAATCTGAAGTAATTCACTTCATCTTCAAAATGAATTTCTTGACTTGAACTACTAAACATCATAGCAAATATTCTATTTACGCATTCAGAGCATACAGTTTACATGTGAATGTACGTCACAAGAAAATAGAATCCGTTGCTTTAGACTCAGATTCGAATTTCACAGGAGATACCACTTACCTTGTGGTTACACAGACGCCTTGCTGATGAATGCCAATAAGCATGATGCCTAGGTCCATAGCTTCCTGTCAAATGCCTACAACCAACTAACATTTACCAATGTGCATGCGATATTGAGCCTCCTAGCTTGGCGGACAAAGCAAAATGATCCGTAGAATTCGACCATCACTTAGGACTAGACAACATGAAATTCGTTACTCTCTAGTGACCAATCACTATGTCTAATCTGGTCCTATAGGAAGTCAATCGTGTCTCCAGTAGGTCAGTGGTAACACTGCTGGTTGCAACAGTGGGTGACCCGACTTCAAACCTCAGGAGGGATATTATTTTCCTCGTCTTTTCAGATACACCTTACTGGTGAGTTCCAACAAGCCTAAAACCTGGGTCCGCAGCTTTGTGCCGACTGCACTCAACCAACTGGGAACTTGTATGCATTTCCTTCGTTGATTTCACAGTTAAATATTATACTTATCTCGGGTACTAGTTAACGGATATAGTTGAGGGATTTATTTTACTTTTCCTAAAGATGTAGACTACTCCTGAAAAGAGTCCGCATTCAACTTACAAGTATTTTCATTCTGCACTAATGGATTAATGTGAAATGACCGTTGTCACTGACAATGTAAACTAAATTCTACCCATCAGTTCTCCAATATGATATCTGAGTAAAACCACTCAGCATCATTGTTCATTGTTGGAGTATTAATGGCGACTGATTGGAAGCTGATTAAAATAAGCCACTAAAGCACTTACCTTAACGGGTTATTTCAACAGTGTATCCTGTGGTGAAAATACCTGACGTACTTGACATCTTTTTGAATTCTCACCCTTTACCTTTATAAAATTTTCATATGAATGTAGTCTATTGAAATTTGTTTTTCCCTTTAGTTATTCAAACTCATTACTGATACATTTGGTTATTTATCGTGAAATGATAAAGTTTTCTTAAATGTAAGTGTACCCCTGAGCAAAACTTTCAGCTTTCAGGTCTCTTGAGTTGCTTCATCAGTCAAGTAGGATAATCTATATGAACGAAATAAAGCGTACCTATTTACTCTAACAGGATGATTTAATATGTTTATTTAACGTAATACGGATCTTCGCGGGAAAAACTGTTGTAGCTATTATATACTGGTAAAACAACGTTGAATAGAAGCCATGAATTTTTATTATCCTTAAAGTTCTTACTTTTTTGACATACTAAGTGACGACTGAAGGTAAAGTGAAAAATTGGGTTGCGGCAGCATTCGGATTTATATGAATATGACAGTCTTCTTCATTTATTTTTCTAGACTGATTCCAACTTTCATACATTATCGTTGTACTTTTACCATACCCTAAATGAATTTTCCGCTTCATTTCCTCTTATTACTTATGGTTGAATTAACGGAAGCAGGAAAACAGGCGAATGCTGGGCTTAACTGAAAATCAATCAAATGAGATTATTCATTTGATGTAACAAAATTCAGTTCTTATTTTTACTCTCGCAGTGTATATATTACTTCCACTTCTGTTTTTGACAGAATCCAGATGACTATAAACGTCTAGTTGAATGCAAGTGAAGTAAATGACATTTTCTACAGTTTACTTTTAAACTTCTTAGGAGAAAGTAAGGATATTTGTAGGGAAAAGCGAGGTCTTTATGAAAATCCGATGCAGTTGCACCGAACTCCACACGCGTCTAAATAAAATTCTAGTTATTTATATATCACTTTAATGTTATATACAAACAGTGAGTGAGACTTACCAATAAGCATGAAATAATGTTGCATACATTCTAGTTCATATATTGATGCATAACTGTACACATGCCATGAAAGGTACCAATGTCAGTTAAATTGGGTTTCAGGCATACCACTAACTATTTGAACTATTCAAAACGGTTCACAACTACTTAACTTTTCGAATTTTTAAACACTAAATATGTATCTGAAATTCACCTTGTACATAGCCAAAGACAAAACCTAAAATAGCAATGTGACTACATTCATTTGATCTGGAACAATAGCTGCGTACTAGTCTTTTCAAGCTACTCATATTTCTTTTTGCTTTGTAATACCATCTTGATGTCTATTCGATTTGTTGTAATCAAAAAGAGTTTCAAAATGCATTAAATTAACTTTCGATATATCCTTTTGTTGGTGAGGATCGGTCTTACGAATAATTTTTGTTTTCGGATACTTAAACAGCTCTTATAATTCCTCACATATAATCGTACTTGGAAATTAAGTCAAAGTAGAGTTGAAAAGTTCAAGTTAAGCAGTGTTACTAACTGTTCCCTGGATTTATCCCAAACTGTATGCAATTCCTTAAAGAGTTTGCAACTCTAACCAGAATTTTATATTTACAGTTCCAAGTGCAACTAGATGGTTAACAGATGCAGTAGGGTAATTCCTGACGTTACACATTTCTCTACCAATAAGCTATACCCATTAAAATTTACTTAGTAAAACTAAAAACTGGTGTTATAAATTTTTCTTTCCTGATTTTTTATTATCTTTACTACTGTTAATTGAATACACTAAATATAACGGTAACTAAAAGAGTGTTTTATCATGAAGGACTTTCGGCATGAAAACGCCCAGCTACCTTGAAGAGGAACCAGCTTTCCTGTTATTTGGTGATCCACAATACAACTTTAACTCGTATACATGAAGTTATGCTTGATTAATTTATGGCTATCTTTCGAAAAGGGTGCTTTTAAAGCCCAAATGAACAATGAATTCCTATTTCGAAATCAGAGTTGGATCAATTCAAGAATTCTTTGCTTAGGAATCATAAATCACGATGACATATACTAAATGTTTCTAAAACTATTAAAAAACCATTCACCTGAAATATTCTTTCCATTTCATTCAGCTGATGACTTGTGAAGGTAGTTCGGTTACGACGTTTTTTCATTTTATCCCTTGAATTACAATTAGTTGAACGATTAATTGCACTAATATGATTACTCACAGAACTATTGGACATTGAACTGTTGAAACTGAATGAATTATTCCCTAGGAAATCTGATGTATCATCGTTTACTTTTAGCGACTTATTAGTTTTATCATTTTGCAATGTAAATCTTGATGTATCATAATTTGTGGATCGCAGGGGAGGATTCGTTGTACCACAATGTGAATAATTCGTGTTTTGACTATCATTGTTACGAATAATATTATGGCTGTCAGAAGTACTGTTCGATGTCTGTGTTGTAATTGTTGCTGCTGTTGTTGGAATCGGTGATGTGAATGAAAAATACGGAGGTAACTTTGGTGCATCTGTATAAAACTTTGATGTAATTGAATTAATTTGAGTTGGTGCACAAATTGCATACGGTCGTAATTTTCCATTACTTGAATTAGTCAATAAACTTGGCAGTAGAATATGATCCGAGAAGTTTTCACCTGTACACATTGGAAATATTTAAACGTTAAATACATAAAATACAGAATAAAATGTAAAGATACTCTTCCTAACAGTGAACTTAATGTTCCTTCTTAACTAGCACACATTAATATTGGATAAGTGGATCTTTCTATGGATCGGTTATGGAGTGTTGATTAAACTATTGATCACGTAATAAGTCAACTAGACATGCAGCTTGATGTCTGCCTGAAAGGTGAGTGACAGCATTATGGTCCATGGCTTTCGGTGCTGTAGTTTTACAGTCAGTTGACAGCAAGCATTCTACTAATGTTATGCTGTCATCGGTACGCACTAGTGATCTAAACCTTGAAGAGTTGTTTCCCACCTCAAAGATGTGAATATGATCCATATAGATTGACAGCTGAAGACTGCGCTATTAATATAAGACTAATTCTTCGGCACTATGACAGAATATAATTCCATTTTAGTTGATATGTTGGACGTATCTCACAGTGGAACAGTATTAATTACTGGAATACTCCATGGACACAATATGTTGTCCATAGTCATATCAAGATGAATATTGAAACATCTGATAAATCAACTAAAATGAAGACTGTACTGTAAAGATATTCAAAGAAAAGTAGTTTCCTTCAGGTCAAGATATTGTTTTTAAATTAGTAATCAAAAAAAAACTACAAGTGAATAATTAACCAAATTAACCACTCACATGAATGATTTCTAATATCGAAAGGAATTTCGAATGTTATTCGTAAACATTTTACTGCGAAGTAAATAATCATTGACTATAAATTATCTCTCGCAACACAAATGTTTAGTTGCAATTTAAAAAGAACCAGATGATGTTTAAGATGATGATGAAAGTCAGCAACTATGCAGAGTTTTGACTACTAACTTACGAGTCAATTCTTAGGTGAAGGGTTTTATTATACCACAGGATTGTGCATTTTCCAAGTATGTTTAGAAAAAAGACAATCCACGATCAACAAAGTAAAGTGTTTAACTCAATGAACCACCTTCTCAGTTGATGACTCCAGTAGTGGAGGTGTAGTTCATTAGCTTAGAAAGTTGACTTTCAGTCAGTGGGTCACGAGTTCGAACACCGCTACAGTTAATGGGGTTTGGGAAGTGAGACAGTATCATTAGCTCTCACACAAAAGGTGCGACTCTTTGCCTACTGCACGAACGCAAACAAGGTTGGTGGGTGCATTTCGATTCGATTCTCTGTGACCTCACCAGGTGGTCGACAGTGGAATTAGTCGAAACATTATTATTCCAAATCATATTTTTGTAGCCCTTAGAGTTACAAAAGCCACCATTTTATTATCGAATATTTTAAGCCATGCATTACTCAGCACCATGAAGCTAAGAAGTTATATACCATTTTTTGTGGCGATAACTACCGTTTATTGAAAGTAGGGGAGTTTATATGTGGTTTTATCTCATCTGACGATCAAAAATAAAGATTGAAAAACCTTGTAACATTTATTTCCAGTCTACGACTTGTCTAGAAAACTTATACTAGTAGATTTTCCAGTCTTGTCTGTTTGGTATACGATGGTCACTTTGGATGATAGGTACAACTTTCTCAGGTTAGTCGGTTGAGTAAATCAGCGTATTGGTAAAAGTATACATCAACTTACCCGGTATACCAAGTAAATAAATTGTGGCACTTACGCATCGTAACAACAAAAGCCTTGAATGCATTAATATTAATAGATAGTACTGCATTTTTGATTCGTTAATTCAAACAAGTACGTATTTACATAACCATGTATAAATAGAATCACAAATTGATTACTTAAGTCTTTACTGATTAGTGGTATCGTTGATTATTTTCAAGGCATCAGCCGATTTTCAATCGGAGGCGAAACTTTTTTTTAAACTACAAGTTAAATGATGACAACAGACAAATGAATATGTGAAAAAACTTGTCATCATTTTTATATCACTGTCATGAAGGGAAATACATGTAAACATACCTACCAAAATCATCAGAAAAAAGAAGCATAGAGATTAAATATTCTTACCTGCTGTGATTCTGTCGTCTGTGTTGACAGAACATTCTAAATGGACAGCACATTCTTCTACTTCTTCATCTCGTCGTCGATAAGCAGAGTCAAGTATTGGATAGAAAGACTCAGACATGTATTTATTGTTGCTAACACTGATATTGTTATGTAATCTTTTTTTCAAATAAGGTTATCACGTTAAATTGGTAATTTTCTTAATTTACAATATGTGTAAATGTGACCATATGCTGGTTAAGTTCTCCTTGGAAATAAGTAAACTGTTAAAATTTCGAAATACTCTGATTTTTATGATGGATAAAAGGGTGTACTTGTGTCTGCGTATGTGTTTTCTTAAAAATCTTTACCCTGTGAATTCACACAGCGTATGGGATGTTTTCCTTTTCCTGAGTGTACACTATACATTTCTGTCTACGTGTATGTATTTTAGTATGTATGTCAAGGCAGATCACTTTAAGAACACTGTGAACATTTTGTGCACATGTTGTGTTTGTGAAATGCGAGTGTGTAGATGCGTGCACGTGTGTACACAAGATAGAAGTATCGAAGAAGGGGTTTTAGTGAACTATGCTTCTGGGAAAAACATATAATCACTTTTAACTGAACAGTGTTGGGAATTTGAATAAAAATATGTTGATCTCAAAGGAAAGGGTTCACGCAGAAAAACAGCACTCTCATGCATTGAAATCTTTAACCCCTTTAAATAGCAACACCTTAGCTTCATATGATTAAGACACAGTGTCAGTATAACGAATACATAAGATAAAGCTATCTAAAAGATTATGATTGGTTTGTTTTAACGCTATGCTGTAATCAAGGTTTATTATTCTTTTACAAAGTGCTTCTTTAAAACTGAAAGACTATTATACGGTCAGACGAATATGGGAAATGGAAAAATTAAAACGGTCTTGGAAAGCACTTAAATGTATGCACATATGTAATGTTTTTTAGAAATTATGGAGGCTTTTTTCAGAATTAATTATCACTTGACTATCTGAGATAGTCATAGTTTGGAAGACTAGTATTTATACTGGGTGATGATTAAAGGTGGAATGAAAATCTGGAGCGTGGCCGGATTCGAACCAGCGACCACCGGGTCCCCGGCCTGATGGCTTACCAACTGAGCTACGATGTCCAAATGCTAACCAGATTTTTATTGCACTTCAATCACCAAGGGTTTTGCCCGACTACTATTTGAATTCGTGACACGTTACTACCGCTTGATCATATTCACACTGGCTGCCGAGTCAGGATTTTTCATCCAAATCCAAATCTAACCGAATCAGAGAGGGGGAGCACTTTATTGATTATCATTTGACTATCTGAGACAGCCATGGTTTGGTAAACCTGTATGGATCTTGGGCGATAACCAAAGATAAAACGAAGATCTGGGTAGCGATAGGATTCCAACTAGTGACATCCGGATTACCGGCCGCTTCTTGCAGCTGAAGTGGTAAACCATCAGTTCGATCGATCACTGGTTTGAATCCCGCCAAAGCCCAGATTTTCATTTCATCTTTAATTATTACACAGAATTAACTGTCATAAATTTATTGCGTTTATAGATTTGAGATGGATTGAATTCAGTTGTGCTGCTGAGTCGGATTTTCAACACACACGTGTTCACTGATCATCTTCATTTCAAGTATACTAATTTAATTACTCAGCTACATGAATATTGATGAGTTGAAAAGAAAGCCTGAAATGTGGTAGAATTTTAACCCAGAAGTCACTTGTTCAGATGCTGCACTAACTCAGGATTCCTTTCTAATTTTAACCGTCATCCTGAAATATGTTGAATATGAGTTTAACGATCACTGATGTCATAGCGCAACTGTTTGATTTAACCTGTTTCCGAGACTATTATGTGTGCCAGTTATACTGATGCAAACGAAAGCTATGAAAAGGAAAATTCCATATGTCCATTGTGTTTTGGTACAGGATGCAACACATCAACACCATAATCTCAAGACATAAAAATCAGGGGGTTATGGTCATTATTTTGTGAATTACTTGAAGATCAGAAATGCAAGGTGTGATTTCTGCTCACCAGCTTAATTATGGTGTGCTAGTTCAGAGACTTGAATACCACATGTTTACCTATAGGATGTACTACCACAAAGTTATGAATTAAGGTGTAACGATTTGCCAGTCCCTGATTGTTTTCTGGTTCGTGATAAAAATCATTTCCTGTCTATACGATCAAGTTCAGCTTTGTCAAAAACTCATGAAGTTTTTGCAGAATACATGTCACAGAAACAGTGACAGTCATCACAATGCAGAAATCCCCATTAGCTCCCTTGGGCAGGTTTTCACAGCATGCTATGAAAAAAGCCCACTATGCGAAGGTCAGTGATACCACCTAAACCTTAACAGGTGAAGTTGGTTTCGAACCCATGAGCTGAAAGCCAATTACTCTACCCAAATAACCCGTGTGAAATTGAGTTATTGGAGTAATACATAGCTATATGCTCATTATGAACATCTCACTACATCGTTCTTCATACCTTAAAAAAGATAGCCCTTCGAAAGTAAAAGTACAATGTTCCAGCACCTTTGTAACCCTGAAGACCATAATCCAAACTTTCATACACTGACTATGAAAATAAACGGCTCCGTCACCAAAAATCAGAGGACTATATCTTCAAGTCCCTCATAAATTATTAAAAGTACTAATAAAAGCGTAAAATAAGTGGAGACAAACAAGACAGATTTCATATAAGACCTACAAGATAAAATCGAAACTTGAAAATGACTGCGAAAATCCCTACATAAATTCCACCTATATTAAATTATATATTCTATAAACATCTTCAAATAGTAAACAAAATCTAACAGAATTCCATCACGAAAACTGCATGTGCTAGTCATCAAGATCAATATAAAATCATGAATACCCGATAGTAACGAGGCATCCTCATAGCAGCCTATCTGCCAACAAAGGTCGAGGAATTCGACCTTATATAGCAACGGAAAACTACAATTAACATTACAACAACTGGTACCCGTTGCACAAGAGGTGGCTATCGTGCCCTAGTAGCTTAGTGGATAACAATCTGGCGTTTAAAGCAAAGGTTACTAGTTTCGAGATCAAAGTGGAACAACACTCACAGGGGTGCAGTTGTATCTATCTGAGCCCCGAATAAGACAAAACGCGCCTCCTGGATTCCTCTGCTAGTCACCAAAATCAATATAATTTCCTCGAACAAAACTCATTTGGTGATTCCGTGAACGATAATTCAAGCCAATGGCTTTTATCTGTAAACGAACCTTTCGCTAGTTACTGAGCTACAATTTTAGTTAGCATTTCTATACGTCTGTAAAATGTACATGATTTTGGAACTTATGATCGCTCTACACCACAGATGATTAGACAATCCAAAATGTCATAGTGGTTCATGCTCTTCATGGTGATGTTTTCACTTCCAACTTCACGAAGTACTCCAAACACATATGGATAGCTTACAATTAGTCAACCTTGTTACTGATAAATTTTTCGAAATAACCGATTGTTCGTATGGCAAATATATATTGATAATCACTACGATACCTTAAATCCATTACATTCCTTTAGTTCACTTTCGCCACTCAAAGTTTTAGGGTGCACGGGATATTTTGTTGGGTTAGATGTCACACGAAACTTGAATAGGGTTGTTTTCTAATCAACTTCCAAACTGCCTAACGTAGATTTAACCATCTGATGCATGGAGGTGGTTTGACGGTTGTCTCAATCAACCAATCAATATCAACATAGAACCAAGCATTACTGTGTAACGGTCCGAGCTGCGGCACCTCATATGACTACATCAAGTAAAAAGGCAGTGAGGTGCAAGATGAAGAGAAAATAATTCAGTCAAAAGAAATATAAAGTACTAAAAGAGAGAAAGGAAGAATGAGAAAATGGTGAGATTCAGTATAGCGTCGTTAACATGACGACAATGTATGTACACATCTGCGCCACTGACATCGGTTCTCAGCCATGCCATCATCTAGAGTCTCCAACCACTAGTTCCTCTTGCCCCGCGGACCCCAACCACCACCTAGTCTGCATCACCCCACATGGCTCAAACCAACAGTCAACGACTTCATATATTGGTGCCATGTTTTAGTCTGGCCACCTCAGGCCTTTTGCCAACCTGGAACTACCTACTTCGACCAACATTATGTGATGAGACAGTCGGCGACTAGGCATACGTGACCCAACCAGCCATCTCAGTTGATGAAGGTTCATAGGTTCATAGTGAGCTTTCTGCCCTAGTGCTTAATGCTATGTCTACACTTGCAAGACTGCAAGAGCCAGCTATCGAATCTACGGAAACTCGGAGGATGAATTTCGCGGATTCACCAGATCGGTCGGGAGAGGTCAGGTGAATAAGCGCACTCGGGTCTTGTATGTGTGTCTCACAAACGCAGCACACATCCATGCCCCGAGTTGCTAGAGTCTTTGCCAACGAAGCCTGTTGACCAATTTGACGGAGGGTGCGGACACTGAAGACTCCAACATGTAATTTGGAGCGTGGTTTAAAGAGACCAAGGATGCTGTTCTATGAACTCAGATCGTTGTCGAAGGCTACAGAGCTAGGAGAAATTGAAGATGATGTAGTATCGTTAGTTGAGAGACGTGAAGGAAGATTAGAAGGTAATGATGGAGGAGGTGGATAGCAGTCAGAAGAAACTTGAGTGCTGACAGAGTTGTGAGGGCGGTTGACACTTCCCGGCTGCCCACACCATGGAAGGCTATTTCTTCTTAAGGTACCTGGAAGAGATTTGTGTGACCGCAGAGCCCATCGGACATCTGCTTGAGGCCTGTCACACCCAGCCTTTTGAGTATTATTATTTTGAACTTTTGTATTTTTGGGGCCGGATAGCCGAAAGGAAACGACAAATGAACCAACACCGCCAGCCCGGTAGACCGTGGGGCATGGTGGAGTGTTATTTTTGAAGCCGACCTTTTCTAACCCCCCCCCACCCCCCACTTCCACTGAGAAGGCAGCATCAGCATGGCACCAAGGGAAAAACCCTACTGCTGTCACACCTCAGACAGCCAGCAGCAGTACGACTTCACCGTCAGACCTCTATCATAGTGTAGCAATTTACACCACAACGGTAACTGCTTCC